GGACCGAGGCCAGCGGGGCCCCGATCGCGCAAAGCCTGTTTATGTCAGCCACCTCCTCCACCCGGCCGCGTGGCGGCCTCTGCCCCAGACACGCAAGGATTGGTGTGGGAGTTCAAAGCGAGCGTCCCCAGAGTGGTAGACGGACAGACGGACGGACAGAGACAGACAGACAGACCGATAGATAGCCAGATAGATAGACTGGCAGATTACTAGATAGATAGATGATAGACAAACATAGCTGTGAAGAAGCTTCAAAATTAGAAGAGGGCTCATTTCTACTGAAACATATATATAAACATTTATAAACATATATACATATATGTATATAAACATTATATATATCAGTCCAACTGCAGTTGACTAGGATTTTGCTTCCTTTGAAATGTTTGCATTACTTCAGATAGCCCTCTTTTCATCCAGTTACATTTAAACCTTACCCTGTCCCCCCCACCCCAAATTCTTAGGACAAGATATTTTACCTTCTGTGTCACAGGGAGCTGCCTAATAAGATTATCGAATACAAGTGAAGGGCACTGATAGGTCCATAGATAACGGTGTCAGCCGTGAGCCCTTTACTGCTTGTTTTCAGTACCTGATGCCGGGGAGTGTGCCCCACCAGAAAGTGAGCGTGGTCGATGTTGGTAGATCTGCGCTTCACCCTGTTCAGCCCTGTCCCTTCACACGTGAGAGCCCAGGCCGGGGCCTTGGAACCACTCAGGTTCTCAGCTGTAGAGCTAACCACTTGGTGAGATGTGCCCAGGCTCGGGGTGCTTTCTACTGCGTAGTTTTGTGGGTGCGTTCTGAAGCCACACTCTTGGGAAGATGTGTCTGAAGGAACATAGGCATTGTTTAACCTTGTCCCATGCTTTCTGGTCCTAGAACTTTAGTGCCCTTTAATGAAGATTAAATCATTTTCTCGCCTTAGTGCCTTAATGGAATGACCGTGCCTAACCTGGAGTCTTGTCTTCCACTTGGAGCCGTGGCAATATTTCTTACCTCCCCTGAGCCTCACTTTTCCTGAATATCAGATGGAAGGCCAATGGTTTCACCCTAAGATACTCTCAAGATTGGGATTCGCACTACTGAAGCAGCAGCATGCAAAACCAGCAATTCTGAGTCTTCTTTCTCTGCCCCTCCTCTTTCAGCTCCTTGATGCCATGGTGCTGTCTTGGCCTTGGGGAATCCATGCTATTTGTCCTCCGCATCTCACTTTAAATATTGCCTTCTCAAAGATGCTGGCCCCGCCCCTATCCTGTAAGCTCAATTCCCCATTGCCAACCATCACAACCGAGATTACCTATTACACCTGGGTTATTTGTTCATTAGGTACTTTCCAGCCTAGACCATACACTCTGAGACTGGGGACCATGTCTGCAATTATTGCTAATTATTGTAATTGCAGCGTCTAATGCAAGAAACTGACACAGCATTGCCAGTCCCAACTGTTGGTTGAAGGAGAGATGGGTTTTGTGTCCCACTGTCCAATCACCTCTGAATTTCCCAGGTGAAACATTTGTCATCAGGAAACAAATCCTAGTACCATATACTCTGAAAAGTGTTAGTTGTTTATGTGGAAATGGCTACATTTCAAGCCAGGTGTCCCACCTGCTTTGGAAAAGGTGTCAGCGTTAGCTCCGTTCCCATCCCCGCTGTGAGGCTCTGAGTGAACTTTCTGTGAGCTACATAGCCACCTAATCTTCTGATTTTAGTGAGAAGGTTCACTGTTCTTTGCATGACATGATAACAAAACCTTTTAAATCTGATGTTCCTATATCACATCTTTTGTTCTCAAGAAAATTACAATTATAGTTGTGAAAGTGAAGCATGTTCAAAGCAAAACTTTGACATTGTTCCTTCATAGGTGTGAAGTTCTGTTTAACATGCGATTAACTCTTCAGCCTTAAATTAGATCACAAAACTGCAGGCTGTCTGGGCCATAATATCTTCTCTGCAGAAACTTGTTCCCTCTAAGTTTTAGTCATTTAATATTAAACCTTAGTGGGCCAGTGTGAGAAACACTGACATAAGTAGAGCTCTCTGGTAAAAGCAAGAGACATCACTATGCAAGGACTCTTTCTGTGAATTTTTGTGGAAGTTAATTTTAGAAAAGCAGCCCCACCCCAAGGATCTTAAAGCCTTTTATCAACTCTCCATATTCTGGCTTCCCCTAATCACCTGGAAACTCTTGCCCTCAATTTGCTGGTTCAAAGACTTGTCCATCCTACCTGATGGCTTGACCACACCAGCTTCCCTCCCTTTAACCTTTCTCCTTCCCCCCCCCCCGGCCCTGCATTCTCTAAACATTTACCTGCTCTTAAATCTCATGTACCCGCATGCTTTGCAGCTGGGAAATAAGAGGAGTGTGCTCCAGGTCTGGTGAGCTTGCATGTTTTTGTCTGTTTTTTGCCAGCTGTCTCAATGTTACTTTTGAGAACTATGTACTAGTAGCATCAATTCTAAATAAATAAGTGAATACACCATTATAATGTTTATGTAAACAGATCCTTTTGAAAATGGTGCTGCTTACTGTTTGATTTTCATTTCCCTGTGTGGCTATGGTTTTCAAGCCCAGTGCTGAGATAGATAGATAGTTCTCTAAGTAACCAGCGTGCCTCAGTCCTGCTCTTCTCCTCAGGTTGTAGCCGGCGGTCTGACCACTGCTCCACCCTCAGTGCTCGCTCTCTCCCTTGGTGGCTGCTGTGGTACTTTGTGGTGCTACTGTAGGCTGTGTTTCAATTACTATTTCTGTTCTTAGGCTTCCTTGTGCACTTTCGGCTTAGGGGAGAGGGAATTCTTTGCTTTTGAAAACAGTAAGTAGTGTTACTTAATAGTATATATTAATCAAGGTCAAGCTCAAATGGAAGAAAACTGAAAAGCCAACACAGTCCCTGGTTCTTGGGTTTTATAAGGAGCAGATGGCCAGGATGGCCAGTTTATATGTATCAGCTAGATGGATGGGTCATGCATACCCAGGCATTTGGTCAGATGTTGTTTAGACTCTGTCTTGTGAGGATTTTTTGGCGGGGGAGGGTGTTTGGTCGTGAGGCTTGAACTCTGGGCCTGGGCACTGTCCCTGTGCTCTTCAGCTCAAGGCGAGCGCTCTACCACTTGAGCCACAGCGCCACTTCTGGTTTTCTAGTGGTTTTTATTGGCAAAAAGAGTCTCACGGACTTTCCTGCCTGGGCTGGCTTTGAACCTTGATCCTCAGATCTCAGCCTCCTGAGTAGCTAGGATTACAGGCATGAGCCACCAGCACCGGCTTTGTTGAGGATGTTTTAGGATGAGATTTAAGTGTCTGAATTGGTAGACTGAAGAAAGCAGATTGCTCTGACTAGAGTGAATGGTTGAAGGTCTAAATTGAACAGAAAATCAGTTTTCCCTCAAAATCAGTGCTGTCTGGCTGACTGATGAAGATACCAGTCCTTTTCTTGCCCTTGAACCCAACCTGAAAAGAATCATTCTGGGAAGAGCAACTCTCATCAACTTTGCAGCCGGTGGGATTTCCCATGGGGACTCGCACCTTCAGCTCTCCGGAGTCTCCTGCTTTCCTGCTTCACATCCCGGCATTCCTCATATGAAGACTTGTTCACACCACATTAACAGTGCAGGGGAAGCAGCTGCACGGTCATCTCTATTGGTACAGAAATGGCATGTTCTTACATCCTTCCATGATGGGAGAGCCCCGGTCTATTCCAAGTGCATGACGTTGCCAGATTCTCCATAGGCTTTCGTTGCTAGCCGCTGTCTCTTTTCAGGAGTACTCGCTCTGGAGAGTGGAGAGTCTGAGCTCATTGTGATTCCTGTCTGCCTTAGAGACATCCACTAAGTTCGTAGTTCCCTACATTTTGAAGAGTCTTAGATTTCTAGGAATTTGCTTCTCAAAAATATCCCGTGTTGACATTAACTCTAGAGATAAGTAATATAGTTATACTCTGTTCTATCTGGATGGTTGACACCTTAGATCTGGGTTACTTGGATGATTGACAACTTATAATCAAGAACCCTTCACTGTTTCAGTGTCCACAGGAACTTGTTTGAAACTCTACTGACACCAAGAAACAAAAGTTGAATTTTGTGCATATAATGAGAGTAGAAGAGGATGTAATTATGATCATATAATTATGGTTATGTGATTATGTAGATGATGAGCTTCTGCTAAGAGGCAGCAGATTACATCTGGCTTGTACTTACCTCAGTGTCACGGGAACGGAAAGTTTGCATGATTTGAACAAAATAGTTGAAGGAATGGCAGATGATTGTGTAGACGCAGGATTTGGGGAGTGATAAATGCAACAGCAATTTCTCCACAAGTCGACTGGATGTAGTAAGCCCCCACATTTGATTGATCTTTGAAATGCAGTTTGGTTTTGGCAAAAGATTAAACATGTGATAAAATTCTTTTCCTTTATATTTGGGGGTATAAGAAAATGGAAATAAATGAATTTTAGTTTTATAATTATAAATTTTCTAACTGTACATATATACTTAAGAAACACTACAAAAATAAGTAAACATTTAAGAATCATGATGATGCTTTTATCTTTGAAAGGGGTCTATATATTATGTGAGTTTGATAATCATTTCTTTTTTTTTCTTTTTCTTTTTCTTTTTTTGGGTCCAGTCATGGGGCCAGAACTCTGGGTCTGGGCGCTGTCCCTCAGCTCTTCAGCTCAAGGCTAGCACTCTACCAGTTGAGCCACAGTGCCACTTCCAGCTTTTTTTTTTTTTTGTTTATGTGGTGCTGAGGAATCGAACCCAGGGCCTCAGGCATGTACGGCAAGCACTCTACCACTGAGCCACCTTCCCAGCCCCAATAATCATCATTTCTATATCTTTAGGGTTTTTGTTGTTGTTGTTGTTGTTTTGGTTGTGGGGCTTGAATTCTGGGCCTGGGCGCTGTCCCTCAGCTCTTCAGCTCAAGGCGAGCACTCTACCACTTGAGCCACAGCACCACTTCCAGTTTTCTGACTGGTTTATTAGAGATAAGAATCTCACGGACTTTTCCTGCCCAGGCTGGCTTTGAACCTTGATCCTCAGATCTCAGCCTCCTGAATAGCTAGGATTACAGGCCTGAGCCACCAGTGTCCAGCATCTTTAGATTTTGTTCCATTGGCTGTTTGGGTTTTGGACAAAGACTGGTGTTTGTAAAATCTGCTTACTGAAAGATTTGAAGTTTGTGTTCTACTTGTTCAAGATATAATTCAAATCATCCTGCTAATTAGCTTTAAAATATGCCTAGAATAAAGCAAGCATTGAGAGAAATTCTTGTTCTCTCTATTGCTCAGTGTGAATCATTCACAGCTTTGCATTACACCGCCTCTTAATTCCAAAGACAGTATGCGTTTCCGAGGCCTTGGGTTGTGCCTGGGTCTTCTCTTCATCTCGGCCAATGCGGACTTTGCTGACGACAGTGTGGAGGTGGAAGACTTCGGTGAAAACTCAGAGGAGATGGATGCTGAGGAGGCCACACCTAGCCCAGAGGTGGGTGGCGGCATGCTGTTCCTCACAAGACCCACAGGAGTACTGCGAGCATCCTGGATAGCACCCCCGCAGGGGTACTGTGAGCATCCTGGATAGCACCCCCCAGGGGTACTGTGAGCATCCAAGATAGTACTCCCCCCAGGGGTACTGTGAGGACCCTTTACTATTATAATTTTTGGGGAAGTACTGGGACGTGAACTCTGGGTCTCATGCCTGGTAGAAAGCCCCTCTGCCGTGTCTCTGTGCCCTTTTGCTTTCTTTATTTTTCTGATAGGGTCTCAAAGTTTTGCCTGGGTCAGCCTGGACCATGATCCTCCTATTTATACTTCCGATGTAATTGGGGTTGACAGGCATTTACCACACGGTGAACCTTTTGCCTTGGCTTACCTTGAACCAGTCTGTATTTCTTTCTGTATTTCTTCAGTAGCTGAGATTACAGTCATGAGCCACCTTGCCTGGCGTGCTCCTAATTACTTTTAATCCCCACATACTGTTAACTTATTGGGGTTCTAAGGCTATGTGAAGTGTGTCCTCTGGCTGCACGCACGTTTCTGTCACCATGCATTGCTCTGTGCTGTCACCATAGCTAGGACAGCCCGGCCGCCTCATGCCGGTATGATGTGCATGTGTGGTGTGTGCTTGCAAGATTGCTTCATTAACATGCCTGTGAGAGGGTAACTCTGAATTCTCAAAATCTTATTTTCTAGGTTTTTAAATATAAGACACCTCAACCTATAGGAGAAGTATACTTTACAGAAACATTTGATAGTGGAAAGTTGGCTGGGTGAGTATTCATTTAGAGAACGTTTTCCTTGCTTTTGACAGCTTTTTGTTCCATATTTATGTAATAGATAAGACAAGGCTTAATTTGATTGGCTACGTACAGGAAGCTACAGATGCATTTTGTATCCCGTAGGACAAATACAACTTAAATTCAGATGACCAATTTGGGTTATTCTTCCAGCCTAAGAAATGGTAAGAGAATGATTAATGCTTAGTGCTTACGATGTGCCAGACCCTGTCCCAGGAAACAGCAAGCTCCTTCCAGGGCTGCGCTGTGAGCGGCTTCCTGCTGCGCGCTGCAGGCAGACTGCACATTCCAGCTCTGGTTTAGGTCCAGCCTTGCAGGCGGTGCACAGGCATCCTTGTCCATCCTCCTCGCACAGACTTATTTTTATGTGAACAATGACTGTATTGGACACTATTTTCCTGTATTTCTAATATGCAAAGCATCTAATCTTATTTTTCAAAGCCAACTTTTTTTTCAACTTTATTTACAGGTGGGTCTTATCAAAAGCAAAGAAAGATGATATGGATTCAGAGATTTCTATATATGATGGTAAAGTATTTATTTGCCTATCAGCTGTCACCTGTCTGATGCAGAGTGTACCAGCTCCCTGTCGAGCCTTGTGCTCCAGTGCCCAGTCTCTTAGTCTGCTGCTCTTCCACATGGGTGGAAATCTCCTTTTAGCCTGACACCTGGGTGTCTAGCACAGCACTGAATTTCCCTCCATAACTGCTAGTCTCTGCATCTCCCAGAGCAGTGTGCCCAGGCTCTGCTCGGCTGGGGCACCCCCCACTGGGCACACCCACACCAAATGACCATTCTCCTAGAGAGTACCAAACAGAGCCTAATTAAGGACAGCATGAGACACATGGTCACCCCGGAGCCACAGCTGCAGGCCGACAGCTGTCTGCTGGGTCTTCAGGCTTAGCTGCAGAAAGAAATGCCCTAGAATCAGGGTCCCCTTCCTTCTAGCCTAAAGCCAGCCTTCTCACTGTGCTGAGGGAAAGCAGGCCTGTTCTCAAGGTGACCTGGGGTGGGATTGTCCGTCCAGGGCCGCATTGCCGTAAGTGTGTAGCTTTCCGTTCAGACCCCAGCATGGGTTACCTCAGAACAGGAGCAAAACCAGTGGCAGTGTGGCATGTGCAGATTTCAGCCATCTCCTGCGTGCCAGCCCAACGCCAGGCCTGCTTGCTGTGCGTCCTCCGCCTAGGGACGTTGGCATCTGGGGGGAACCCTCCATGTGCACACAGCAAGCAAGGCCACATCTAGCCTGAATCCACTTGCAAAAAGGGGCATTTCCCTGGGGAAGCAGGGTCTGTACTCAGCTCGTCTGTTCTGCCTGAAACCCCCCCCCCCCCAGCAGCCGGTGAACGTGCGGCCTTCCAGACACAGTGCCCAGCTCCCAGCATCTGTGCCCCGGTGCTTTGCAGGCTTTTGTTTTTCCAGGAACACGGGGGATTTTTGCTTTTCATTTGTACTTCGTAAGAACCCATTGACACATGTCCCCTAACATTTAGATTCAGTGTATTTGTTTCTACTTTTGTGAACTGACCACTTGAGCCACCTGACTTTAGGTTCTGTGCAGCCATGCTTGGGCCAGGGGCATCCTCACCTCAGGAGCATCCTCCACATCACCTTCCGTGCCTGGGAATTTAGTGTTTAAGCCCCCAAGTGGAAGTGAGCTGCTTGCCTGGCCAGCTAGCCTGGGAACGCTTGTGTGGATGAAGCGTACCGCTGATGACGCTGACAGCAAAGGCGCGGACACGCTCAATCAACATGAACTGAGGCGGGAAGGTCACAGTGGTCTGCAGGCCGCTTTAACATGTCACCCTAGAAATCCAGTGTTGCCACCCTCTGAAACAAACCACAGTTACCACATGCGTGCTAGTTAGAGAAAACTAAAGTTACCCATTTTCATTCCAGTGCCTTAATCAGATACTTTAGTATTTGGTGGTTGTGCCTTTTCATAATTTTATCTAAGGAAATGGGCCCCCCTTTTATGGTACTGGGGCTTGAGCCCAGAGCCATTGGCTTGCTAGATAGGCACTCTTCACTTGAGCTAGGTCTCCAGCGCTTTTAGCTTGGACTTTTCAGATGAGACATTTCATTTTTGCCTGGGGCCAGCCTGGGACCATAATGTTGCATTTCCTATGTTTGTTGGGATTACAGGAGTGTACCACTGCACTCAGCCCTGAAACCAGCTTCTGATATGGGAAAAGAGAACAGGAGAGCAAAGGAAGTGGGGAGAAGAGAAAAGAGGAGGCGAAGAGAGATGCATACACAACATATCAGATATTTCCTGACTTATAATATGGTTTTATTTTTGCTATATCAGTATTGATGAAAAATACATAGTTTACAGCTTATTGGGAAATACGTATTATCAGTATTTTCTGTTTTAATTTACCTTGCTTTTCTTTGTTTTTTAGGAAGATGGGAAATAGAAGAGTTGAAAGAAAACCAGGTTCCTGGAGACCGGGGGCTCGTGCTGAAGTCCAGGGCGAAGCACCACGCGGTGGCGGCCGCCTTGGAGAGGCCTTTTGTCTTTGCAGACAAACCTTTGATCGTTCAGTAAGTCGTAGTATGCTTGTGACCACTCTTTTTCGGGATTTGGGTTCATGTGATTTAGTTGGCATCTGAAGATAGCTTGGACTTTAGTGCTGGGCATAAGATTCTATTTTTTTCAGTTTTATTTAGTTAAACCTTGGAATGTATATATGCACAACCCGTTATTCAGTGAAAACCAGTTAATGATGAAATTAGATTCATTTCTGCCACCAAATAATACAGCACAGTGTAGTCACTTTTTAAATTTCAACCTTTTTTCTGAGAGTTACTTGCTACTAGGATATTAACTGAAATATAATCAAGAGGGAACACAAGTACTGCTGATAAGCTGGCAGAAATTCAGCAGCAGTAGATTCATTTTCAAAGGAAGTGTGGATGGGGTCAGGAGACCTCGCTCCTCCCCGAGTGGGCATGCGCCAGAGGCCGGGCTTGCCCTGTGTCCTGCTGGACTCCACAGGAAAACCACACCCATCATAACAAAACCTCCCTCCTCCTGCCAGACAGGGATGGCACTCAGGAGCATCATTCCCTGAAATGGCCCCCAGAGCCCCGCCACGTCAGACCCTTCTGTTAGATTGATGGCTGGTTCTTCCTGTGCCTGCAGAGTGCCGTCTTGTTTTAAGAGACCTCCCAGAGTCTAGCAATTGTACTTAGTTGAATATATCAGTGTGATGCTTCAAAATATCTGGTCTACAGTAAGTCATCTCAATGAGTTTTGAATACTGACTCATGTAATAGAGCATATGCCCACTATGTGAACAAATTTAAAATAGTTACAGGCACTTAGTAGACTCACATTTGACCTTAGTAGTACTTCTTGATGACTTTCGTTAGCATTTGTTACTTTTTGTCTTTTGTGTTATAGCAATTTCAAACTGACTGGGAGGGTGTTCTTTGTGGTTTTGGTTTGAATTTTCCTTAGGAATAATGACTTGCTACATTTTGGTCATGTGTTTATCTTCTTTTGAGAAACGTCTATTTAGGTCTATTTCTTTTCTTTTCTTTTCTTTTTGGTCGGCTGTGGGGCTTGAACTCTGGGCCTGGGCGCTGTCCCTCAGCTCTTCAGCTCAAGGCTAGTGCTATACCATTGAGCCAGTGTCACTTGCAGTTTTCTGGTGTTTAATTGGAGATAAGAGCCTCACAGACTTTCCTGCCCAGGCTGGCTTTGAACCATGATCCTCAGATCTCAGCTTCCTGAGTAGTTAGGATTATAGGCATGAGCCACCAGCACCCAGTTATGTAAAATACTTTAAAACATGAAAATATATTTTGTATGAAAATGCAGAAATTATTAAAATAGAAAAATATGTGATGTAACGTCATTCTTGAGTATATGGGTATTCTGTTTTTCATAGTACCATTTATTTAAGAGCCTGGCCTTTTTACAATGAATTTCTTCGGTGACTTTGTTGAGGATAAATTGGCTACAGATACACGGATTTATTTGTGGGTTCTCTCTTCTGTTCCATTGGGATATGTGTCATTTTGTTTATGCCAGTTCCATGCTACTTTTTTAAAACATAATTTTGTAGAATGCTTTGACAAGATCTGCTATTGCAATGTATCGGTTTTATTCTGTTTGTTCAAGCTTCCTTGGGGTCTTTATAGTTCAATATGAAATTTAAGACTGTTGTATTTTGTGGTACTGGGATTTGAACTCAGTGCTTGTTAAGCAGCCACTCACCCAGCCCTTTTCACTTTACTTTTTTTTTTGTTGTTGTCAAACTTCTGTACAGAGGGGTTACAATTACATGGGCAAGGTAATGAGTAGATTTCTTATCAAGCATTGTTGCCTCCTCCTTTATTTCCCCTTCCCATCTCTTGCTTTACTTATTTTTTAAATAGTCTTTCATATTTTGCCTGACTATGAATCCTATTTATGTTTCCCACATAAAAAAGATTAAATGCACATAGCACTACACAAGTATTTTGGTTAAGATGAGCCTGTCTAACTTTCCCCCAGACAGGTCTCAAACAGCAGTCCTTCTGATCTCTGCTTTTTGAACAGGCAGGAGCTTCCATGTAGGGTGGGTTTTTATGAAGTATTTTATTGGTATTTTGATTGCGATTGCTTTAATCTGTGTGTCACTCCAGGTAGAATGGACATGTTAGCAATGCTAAGCCTTCTAATCTAAGAACATAGGGTGATTTGTTTTTCAGTACTTTTTAGTTTATTTCATCAGTGTTTTATTATTTTTGTTATAGAGATCATTTACTTCTTAGGCTAAATTTATTCTGAGGTATTTGCGTGTGTGTGTGTGTGTGTGTGTGTGTGTGTGTGTCTTAAATGAGACTTATTTCCTTTACAGCATGCTCATTATTCATATATTAAAATGTGACTTGATTTTTATATGATTACTGCATAGCCTCCACCTTTATTGAGTTTCTTTATTAGTTCTAACAGTTTTGTTAACTGAGCTACTAGAGTAGCTATTCAGGAAGTTAACTTCCTATGCCAATAAGTCCTAGTATTTATCTTATTCTTTTCAGTAGTAGTTTCAACATTTAGATCTTGCATTAAGGTTTTTGTTCTTCTTGGAGTTCATATTCATACAGAATGAGAAGTAGATGTCAGTCTTGCGCATGTGGATATCCAGTCATTCCAGCATTATTTGTTGATGAGACCATTGTTTCTCCAGCATCTATTTTCGGTTCCTTTGTCAAAAGTCATATAGTTGTGGTACTGCAGATTCATTTCTGGGCTGTTTGATATGTTTCTGTGCAACTGTGATGCTATTTGACTCTGTAATATGATTAGAAGTCTAGTTTTGTGATGCCTCCAACATTGGCTTTGTGCTGAAGATTGCTTTGGTTACCCAGGATCTTTTGCATTTCTGTATAAATTTCAGGATTGATTTTTCCATTTCTATAAAGAATGACATTGGAACTTTGATCAGTATTACATTGAATCAATAGATCATCTTTGGCAATATGACCATTATTGTAATATTAATTTTGCCAATCAGTGCAAATGGTAGGTATTTCCATATTCTACTGTCATCTTTATTTCTTCAAAGTTTTATAGTTTTCATTGTAGAGATATTTCATCTCCTTAATTGTTTATTTTTATTTTTGATGCTATTGTGAATTTTTTTAAAATTTTCCTCTCATTCTGTTCATCCTTGGAGTACACAAAAGGCACTCATTTTTGTGTGTTGATTTTGTATCCTGCCACATTGCTGTGAAGGTGCAGGAGTTTGGTGGTAGAATCATTGGATCTTTTAAGTATAGTATCTTAACATCTGCAAATAGGGATAATTTAACTTCTTTCCACATTTGGAACCCTTTATTTCTTTCTCTTGCCTTATTACTTTGGCTAGGAATTCTAGCACTATATTGAATAAGAGTAGAAAGTAGACATCTTTGTCTTATTTCTGATTTTAGAGGAAATGGTTGTTTTCCAACATTTAGTGAGCTGTTGGTGATAGGTTTGTTATAAATAGCATTTATTGAGATATTTTCCTTTTATTCCTATTTTTTTATCATAAAAGGAGGTTGCATTTTGTCAAAGGCCTTTTATGCATTGTTGAGATGATTATATGATCTTTGTCCTTTATCTTGTTTATGTAGTGCATAATTTCTATTGGTTTATGGTAAGCCAATTTTGCATACATGAATGAACCCAATGTTCTCACGGTGTACAAGATTTTTGATGTGTTGTTGAATTCAGTCAGTAAGAACTTTATTGGGATTATTTTCATGTTATCTTTATCAAAGTGAGTACTCCAAGATGAGTATTATTAGCTCTTGTTTGTAATCCTAGCTCCTTAGGAGGCTGAGATCTGAGGATTGCAATTTGAAGCCAGCCTGGTCAGGGAAGTTCATGAAACTCTTTATCTCCAAAAAAACTACAAAAACAAACAAAAAACAAGGAAGTGGAGGTGAGGCTCAGGGACAGTGCCCCGGCCCTGAGTTCAAGCCCTTGGACCAGCACCAAAAAAAAAAGGCATCCAAATTTCTAGTGTACAGAATTGAGCACTGCTAATTGTTTAAACATATACAGAATCATGAACGTATACTGCACATGACTTCTATAGTTGTTATTTTTTCTGTCTGCTAGTTTAAGGTTTGGCTAGTTCATTTTTTTCTACAAATTTGAGGTATATCTTTCAAGTGTTTATTTTAGACATCGCTCTCATCTCTCTGTTTCTATAGGTGCTTATAGATATAAGCGTATCTCTGAGAACTGCCTTTCCTCTATTCCAAATGTTCTGGTGGGTTGTGTTTTCATTTTCATTGGATTCCAAAAAATTTTTAAATTTTTCCCTCTAGTAAGTGTGTTGTTGTGGCTAAATATTTTCTGCAGGTTATTCTACTGTTACACTAGTTTAATTCCACTATGGTATGAAAGAATACAGTATTTTGGTATGAAAAAAAATCCATTTTTGACTTTCTTACATTTTCCAAGACCTTACTTTATGTCCTAGAGATATGACTGGTTTTTGAGAAAGTTCCATGGGCTTCTAAGGAGAATGTGATTGTTCAACTGGTGGCAAAACATTCTATAGATGTCTGTCAGGTCCATTTGTTATATGATATTATCAAATCTCAATCTGTTGATTTTGAGGTAGGTCTAGATGACCTATCTACTAGTAAAAGTGTAGTATTGAAGCTTCCTACTGTCAGTGTTTAGGGTCAATGTGTGTTTTTAAATCCACTAGCATTTGTTTAACAAAGGTGAGTATACCAACATTTAGTGCATAGATGCTAAAAATTGCTGTCTTTTGTTTTTGTTGTTGGTTGTGGAGCTTGAACTCAGCGCCTGGGCCCTGTCCCTGAGCCTTTTCACTCAAGGCTAGTGCTCTACCATTTGGAGCCATAATGCCACCTGCAGTTTTATGGTAGTTAACTGGAGATAAGAGTCTCACAGACATTTGCTGGGCTGGCTTCAAACTGTGATCCTGAAATCTCAGTCCCCTGAGTAGCTAGGATTATAGGCACGAGCCACAGATACCCGGCTGTTATATCTTCTAGGTGGTAAGTCACCTTTATTAATGTGAAGTGACTTTTTTGTCTTTTCTTCACTGGTTTTGACTTGAAGCCTTCTTTATCAGATATGATTGTAGCTCTCCTAGCTGCTTTCAAGGGTCCATGTTTATGTGGACTCTTCAGCCTTTTCTCCTAATCCAATGTTGTTTTTGTCAGTCAGGTGTGTTTCTGGTAGACAGCAAATGGTCAACTTTTTCCTTTTTATCCAATTTACAATTCTTTTTTGATTGGAGGATTGAGACCATTGATATTGAGTACTTCATTGACATGATGTATAGTAGTTCCAGCCATTAAAAAAAATAGTGTTAGATTCTTTCCTGCTCTTCCTGTGCTTGTCTATTTATCCAATGTGATTTTCTTCTCCTTAACTTCAGGTTTACATTCATCTTCCTCTTCTGTGTGCAGGATTTCTTTGAGTACCTTCTGTTGTGCTGGTTTAGTCGTACTAAATTGCTTTAAGCTGGGCACCGGACACCGGTGGCTCACGCCTGTAATCCTAGCTATTCAGGAGGCTGAGATATGAGGATCATGGTTCAAAGCCAGCCAGGATAGAAAAGTCCATGAGAACCTTATCTCCAATTAACCACCAGAAAACTGGAAGTGGCACTGTGGCTCACATGGTAGAGTGCTCACCTTGAGCTGAAGAGCTCAGGGACAGTGTCCAGGCCCAAAGTTCAAGCCCCTCACCAACAAAAAAGAAAAAGAAAAAATTGCTATAGTTTTTATGATAGAATTTTTTTTATTGTTCTTTAATTTGTGTGATAGTTGCACTTGGTAGAGTATTCTAAGTTGGCAGTTTTTACTTGCAATGCTTCAATAACCTCCTGGCTTATGATGTTTCTGTTGAGAAATCATTAGTTACTCTGATGGTCTTTCCCATTAAATGACAAGCTTTCCTTGTTCTCTGTTTTTGGTGTTTGAACTACAATATGATTTTGGAAAGTTCCGTTCTTGCTTTATAGGGTTTTCTCAACGCCTCCTGTTCCTGGCTTTCTCTTCAAGTTCTCTATTCCTTTGTTGAGTATGTTACCTAAGCCCTAAGCCATCACCGCCTCACCTCCCTCTAGGCCCATCATTTGTATGTTTGCTCTTTTGCTAGAGCCCAAACTAGTAATTTCTTGCAAATCCTTTTGTATTTCTTTCACCTCTGTATTTTTGTCAGATATTTTCCATGTCTACTACGTCTTCAACACCTAAAAGTTAGCCTTCTATTTCCTCTACTCTGCAGGAAGTGCTTTCCACTATGTTTTCATTTCCAGGTTTCAGGGGGGTTTGTTTGGTTTTGTTTTTAATTTTTTTTCTCACAATGTCTGTATGTCTGTTAGGATCCTTTTTTCATGTCTTGCCTTGATTTCTTCATTTGTTTCTTTGATCTCTTTTTAAATGTTTAGTTGTATTCCTTTTGATCTCATTTAGCTGTTTGCATTTACTTGGTATTCATTTGACTTCTCTTTGACTTCATTTACTACTTTGGTTGGGTTCTCTTTGATTTTATTGTTTATAAATATCCTGTTTCATTTTTAACATTCTTATAATAATTCCTTTGATCTCACTGTTATTCTGATCTTTTGTTGTTTAATTATTGTTGTTTAAGCATTATGTTTCTTTACTGTCTCATATTTCCTAAATTTATATATTGGGATTTACTCACTAAAATACAACTTGTAGTTTTGAGTTTGCCATCTGCAGTTAGTCTCTACATTCTCACAAGATTAGCTGGTTTGATGTTCCATTTGTCATTGCTGGTATTAAATTACATCTTGCCAGTAACAAATTCACCAATTCAATTCCCAACCAGATATTTACAAGTAGCAAATTACCATTGGTGGCATTATCTACACAACCAATAACATTATATATGCAAGACTTAAAACTAATCATCTATTAAAATGATCATTTTTTATTATTTCTTCAATTTTCATCTTTTTGTTTTATTTCATTAAACAAAATAATCAATTCTGGGTTTTTTCTGCACTGAATTGCTTGTTATAAATTTATAAGTCATCTTAGCAAGACTATATTTCTTGCTTGTTGTCTTAACAAAACTATTTCAAGAAAATAGAAAAATTTTGCTGAGAATTGTAGTGCTATAAATCCATGAGAAGACACTCAGTGGTTTTTTACTGTTAAAGAACTATAATTTCACATATATCTGAGCTTGTTAGATACCAAATACTCCCATATTCTTGACAGACAATATGAAATCTCTTTGCTAGAGGTATTTAATGAAGTATATAACTTATTGAACATAACTTAGGTGTATTGAACATAACTCAGTAGTAAGCTCAGAATATCAAAAATCATGAGCAATTTCTTTGAACCCTGTTGTAGGTTTTTTGGTTTTTTGTTTTGAATTTATAAGGAATATGGGTAATATATGCCTACTGAGAATTTGAAATTTACTCTTGTTTTATCTAAAGTTATTTTATCCTCAACAGTTTTGTTAGAAAAAAATTATTACTTAAATGAATCACTAAATGAATTATATAATTGAACTAATCATCTTATTTATAATACTTTATATGTATGCCTTGAGATGACATAGTAGAAAAGCATTTTTGTTAATTTCCTATAGGTGTGCTTTGTACATATGAACTACTATAGAGTGATATAAAACATTTCTGTCTAAATGAGTTATGAGTGCTACATAGATTTTAAAGAGCAATTAGTAATTTTTATTTATCAGCAGTATGGTTCTTTTTCCTTCATGTAGATATGAAGTGAATTTTCAAGAAGGTATTGATTGTGGAGGTGCATACATTAAACTACTAGCAGACACTGACGATTTGATTCTGGTATGATCTTTTAATACTTCAGAAAACCTTAATAAAGTTAGTAAGTATTTTTAAGGAATAATTGTTACAATTAAAAACTTCACTTTCAACTTTAGGAACCTTGAATGTTTTTTTTTCTGTTAGTTTATGTAGTTTTTACAGTTTGTCTTTGAGTTCCATATGAAGCTGCTACATGAATACATCCATTTTAGAAGATAAAACTTGGCCACAACTATAAACACATGCTGACATGGTGCATATTAATGCTGTGGAAAGGTCAATTTACAGCACTTTGTAAAGTAAGAATTATGTTTGTTTAGGAAAGCAAGGTAACACAGCAAAGCAGTAGAACTTAAGTAGGCAGAAAACTAAGTTAAAAGGTGGACTAACTCAAGACCAATAATGTGCAGAAAATAGCTAATTGAAACTTTTCCATGTTGAAGTAGCTTAAGAATCTAAGAACTTATATTAAGACCACCTGGGCTGGGCACCAGTGGTTCACACCTGTAATCCTACTTACTCAGGAGGCTGTGATCTGAGGATTGAGGTTGGAAGTCAGCCCATGCAGGGAAGTCTTTGAGAGTCTTATCTCCAATAAACTGCTCAGAAAAAGCCAGAAGTTGGGCTGTGGTATAGTGCTGGCCTTGAGAAAAAGAAGCCCCAGGACAGCACCCAGACCCAAAGTCCAAGCCCCGGGATGGGCAAGGGAAAAAAAAAAGAATGCCTAAAGTGTGGGGGATTTCTTACCACATTCTCCCACAGTAGAGAAGGGGTATAATAGGAACTGTGCACATAACAGGAATGAACTAAAAGGGTCATCCTTGAGATGCCTGTGCAGTTGCTGTGGATTAAAGGCTCTTTTGGTTGGCTCACTTGTAGGATATGTTGAAGCCCTTGTTTTTGGTGATTGAAGGTAAAAATGACAGAGCTGGTGGCAAAAGTTTAGTGGCTGATTTGGCAAGGCTGACTTATCCAACTAATCCTCAGAGAAAGCTTGTAAATTAGGCACTGTTGTCTCTACCCTTCAAAGGTAATAACATGGAGACTCAGAGAAGGTAAAGAAGCATGCACTCCGGGCCTCACACAGCAAGCTTATGCAGCAGCCTAACACAGAGACCCAGTATCTATATCCCAGACCTCTTCACCAGCATGTCAGGCTGGATACATTTGGGGTGGATCTTCCATTTTCTGCTTAGATTGGTCATTTTTTCATGCCTTCCTGAACAACAGTAGAGAGTAATCCTTTTAGCTTTAAGATTATAAATATACTATCTTCTAATGATTGATTCTGCATGAAATACTAACGCAGATTTACATCAAGTAATTAAAGCTACTTCATGATGTTGTTTAACATCATCTTCTCAGGAAGTGGCTGGTATATGCTTCAAAAATAACGATTTTCAAGCAAAGTTTGTCACGTATCCATATCCTTTTGTCATTTGTCATTTACTCATAGCCTATGTGTCTGTGTTGTTAGCGTATGTACAAGAGTGAGCTTTACCCAGGGGACAGAATAAAGAAAGCATTAAATTCTCTAATTCTAGACTAATTCCAACATTCATCTCTTTTTGAAGGAAAATTTTTATGATAAAACATCCTATACCATTATGTTTGGACCAGATAAATGTGGAGAAGATTATAAACTTCATTTTATCTTCAGACATAAACACCCCAAAACTGGAGTTTTTGAAGAAAAACATGCCAAACCTCCAGATGTAGATCTTAAAGAGTTCTTTACAGACAGGAAGACTCATCTTTATACCCTTGGTATATCCTTTTAATTCACTGGTGATGCGAAAACGTGCTGACTACAGATATACTCGTGGCAAGTGCTGTGGGGACAGAAGGAGCCTGGACTCGTGCCAGGCTTGTCTTGTGGGTAAACGGCTGCACGCAGGGGCAGCACCACAGAGGGTGCCGTGCTGGGTGAGGCAGGTCAGAGGTCAAAGGCAACATGGTGTCCAGCTTGCAGACTGTGGGGAGACTAGAGAAGGCTATGCTGCCCTTGTCCCTGAGCAGAGATGGAATGGAGAAGAAAGGAGGGGACAGGACATGTTACCCCCGTGACACTGATGCCAGAAAGGCAGGGAAGCAGAAAGTGAAGCGGCTCAGGAGAGGAGGTCCTCAGTGCCAGGGTAAGAAGGTGGGGCTCCACTGTCTGCAGTAGTGATGGCTGGTAGGCCCTGCCTTGTGGTGCTGGTGCCACTTGGCTGACACTGGAGAGAATAATTGAGCCAACCGCATGTTAACATGCATAGCTCGACGTAAGTAAGTGGGAGTCTAACATGGTGTTGAGGACAGAAGAGTACCACATGAGGAGTGTTTTTCAGTTCCTAAGTATGTACGGTTACAGCGAATTACTTAAAACCATAGCATTTCAGAACTTGAGCAGGACGTTAACAATGGCTCTAAGCAGTTTCCTTTCTCAAGTTTCAACTCCATCACAGACTAGATACTTGAGTTTTCTTTCAAATTCTGCGATGGCAGAAATCTTGTGATATTATTATTTTATGTCAAGTCAGTGCCCAGTTTGATGATAAACTGGTAGTATACTAGCCTTAAGAATTTTATTCCTTTGAAACCAAAATTCCATTTTCAGCAATTTATCCAAAGAAAATAACTCAGAAAAAAGAAGACAACTATGGATGAAGATAAACTGACTTGAGGCAATCTCAGTGTTATATAGGGGGAGTTTCTGTACAAGGCAGAGATGATAAATGTGAATATGTTTAGCAACAGGAAACAGGCTTAGACCAGTGAGTAACCTTTACCTGAATGTGCAGAATCTCAAATGCATGTCCTGTTTGGATTTTGGAGCGTTTCACATTTCCAGATTAAAGGTGTTCAACCAATGAAGTCCACAAAAATATTCTAAAAGCCCAAAACCAAGCACAGTGAAATGTGCAACACGTCTGGCCTCAGCATTTAGCCTAAGAGATCTTCAACTTGCTGTGTTCCAGTGGGCCTCTGGGCAAAAATATGCAAGCAGTTAGGAAAGGACTAGAAAGCAAGAAAATAGTGTTCATGATCATTTGATCTGCCCCACCATATGGGAGGCATGAAGTAGCCCTAGAGCGAGAAGGGATGGTAGGCTGGAATTGAATTGCAAGTCTGACTCTTAAACATTTTCTTCTTTTAATACACTCCAAAGCATTGATCTTTGTGTTTGAGTCATTGAATGCCATTTTTAAATCTGTGGTGCTGTCTTAAAAGACACTATCCTGTAGGGTTCTTGGGGGAATTGATTTTGAGACAAGGTACCAGTGTGTGGCCCGGTGGGTCTCCAGCTTACCCTCTGGCTACGGCTGGGATTTGCCCAGGAGTCCGTTTTTAACATGTGCATATCTGCAATGTGCTTTTTTGGTTTTAACTGTAATTTGAACAAAAAATTTCAGTTGCAACGTCTGTTCGAGACTTGCTTCAGAAATTGCTTTTTTTGAATTGGGAAGACCCAGTTTTTTGTTGTTTTGTTCGTATCTTATGCTTAGCTATACTTCAATCTTGCTTTGGTTGCTGCCAAGTAGCTTTTATAATCTTAGCTAAAAAGATGAGGAAATGGTGGAGGAAGAAAAAGTGGGTGTGTGTCTGTGTTGTGTTTGTGTAGAAATTAGAGTTGGGTAGCAGAGTTTGGTCTTACGTGACTGAAAACCTCTGTGGATTGGAACTCCATTAGAACTGGTTCTTCTGAAAGTACTCAACTGTATCTCTGGTTGTCTGGACCCTCTTGATGTCTGCTGGCTGCATCCACTTCTTCTGTTTTCCGAGTTCTTTTTGGCTTTCAATGTAATCCAGTCTGGGGGCCTACATGTGTGTTCTAGGCTGGCCTTGAACTTGAGGTCTTCCTACCTCATCTTCCCAAGTGCTGCGATTACAAATGTGCATGTAACATGTGCATGTAAATGTTACACAGTTATTTCTACCATCATTCTTGCCAAAGACCTAAATTTTATCCACAAGAAGGAAAAGTTCTTTCATCATTACTTACGAAAATTTTGGCTTGAGGAATTTTGGAATTTCCTTGGAGACAAGCATGCTAGCAGGTGTGAAGCTGACTGTGTCAAATGATCCAGAAGACATATCATGTTAGAGTATGTGAGTGATAACAGTGTGGCCATTCCATTCCAGTGCAGGAAATGGCTTTCTAGAGGAGATGCCCTTGTTTGGAGGAAAGGTTCACGAACATGGTCAGGGGTGATGTGTAAAAGGTGAAGTGCTTGCCCTCAAGTGGCGGTGGCGGGCGGGGTGGGGGGTGGGAAGTGAGCTCTTCCTGTTGTACTTGAAATTTTTTAAGTTTGAGATTGGGTAAAAACCTTTTTCAAAGACAATTGTTAGGTTCCTTCTGTAACTATAAAGGAACAAAACAGAGATCCTGAGTATCAAACTGAGTTAGCATTAGGTTAGAAAAAATACAGTTTAAAAACATTTTTCTTCATTTTAGAAAGTATTATTTCTAGTTATTTCAGCATATTTTGATGCAGTGCATTGGTGGGTCTAGTTTTATTTGGGGTAGAGATATTTAAACGTAAGTCATTTTATTCATTAGAATATTCTCTTTAAAATGTCTTACCATAATGACTATAAAACATTTAAATTGTTCTTTAGTGTTGAGCCCAGACGACACATTTGAAATATTAATTGACCAAAAGGTAGTAAACAAAGGAAGCCTACTAGAAGATGTGGTTCCTCCAGTTAACCCTCCCAGAGAGATCGATGACCCCAACGACAAAAAGCCCAGCGAGTGGGACGATAGGGCGAAAATCCCCGATCCCTCGGCGGTCAAGCCGGACGACTGGTGAGCAGAGCTCAGAGGCTCCGTGGCAGGGCGCGACTGGGCGTGGCTAGCAGGACGTGGACCGCGTCAGTGACATTTCCACCCAGTGAGGCCTCTTCTTCACAGCCAAGCCACTCACTTTTCACTGTTATGTGAAATGCTTTCCTAAAACGGATTTTGCACTTCCCTTCCTTTTGCTTTGTCCTCGCTGCTGCTGCTGCTGCTAGTGTGGAGCTTGAACCCCAAGCCTGGGTCTGTCCCTGAGCTCCTTTTGCTCAAGACTAGTGCTCAACCACTTTGAGCCACAGCACCACCACTTCCAGTTTTCTACTGGTTAATTAGAAGTAATAGTCTCATGCACTTTCTTGCTGGCTTTGAACTTTGATTCTCAGATCTCAGCCTCCTGAGCCACCAGCACCTGGCTCCTTTTGCTTTTTTTTTTAAGTGGTTTTTTTTTGTTTTAATTTTGTTGAATTTTTCTGTTGTTTATATTTTATAATTTCAGCGCTGTGGAGAAAATAACATAATCTAAAATACTAATATACTTAAATTTTTAGTTTGCTCTTTATTGTGTATGTATGAATATTATATGTGGCTGTTATTTTTTTCCTCAATGTATTAAGAAGCAATCTAGAATTCACTCAGATCAGTGTGCTTAACCAGAGCCTTGTCCCTTATCTCGTCTTGTCCTTCCTTCCTTCCTTCCTTGTTTGCGTCCTTCTGCCTTCTGAACTTCATCATGCACATTCTACCAGGTTGTGGGGTGACTATTAATGAACATAATATTTTACAGGGATGAAAATGAACCCGTGCAGATAGAAGACTTAAGTGCTGTTAAGCCTGAAGGCTGGCTTGATGATGAACCAAAATTCATCCCGAATCCGAACGCTGTGAAACCAGATGACTGGTGCGCGCTCTCTCCCCGGGCTCATGGCTCTGGTGTTTCTCCCCACTTCTTCCCACTAGCCTGGATGGTGATGCCTGCTTTGTTGTTGTCCTTTTCTCAGGAATGAAGACCTGGACGGGGAGTGGGAGGCGCCTCGGATGCCAAACCCAGCCTGTCACATCGGATGCGGTGAGTGGAAGCCGCCCATGATTGACAACCCGAAGTACAAGGGTGTGTGGAGGCCGCCGATGGTCAGCAACCCCGACTACCAGGTACCCCGTCTGCCTGTGGTTATCTGCTCCTAGTCACCCAGCAATCCCTCACACTGTGTTAGAAGTCTGACACGCAACTTCATGAAGTTGAAGGAAATTGACCTCATGTAATCTGTGTTTACACAGTAAAGCATTCTTCATATAATTTTGTAGGCTAATTAAGAACAGAAGATAGATCACTCTGTATTATATTCTTCCCCAGTACTCAAGCAAGCTCACCCTTGGAATAAAGTTCTCATTTAGAAGTAAAAAAATGACTGGTAACCCAGAAGACTCTCAGCGCGTTGTCATCAGTAGTGCCCATAGTTTTATTTTGTTTTTGTTTAGTGCTGCTGCAATTCAGAATTTTAAAAATATTAGCCAGACATGTTTTGATTACATCCGGGTTTTTCCATATTAAAACTGTTGATACTGTTCATTGGACCTAGTTTCATCTTCCTGATTATCCAATGGCATTTTCTGACATCACACGTGCATCTGCATCTCCCAGTTCTTGCTGTCTCTGGAGTATTCATCTCTTGGGTCCCATATTCATGTCATGACTTTAAATGCCACAGGGCAGAAGCCAGGTCTGTCTGGACCACCACTGGCCCAGGGCCTGGCGCAGTAGAAGTGTCTGACGGCAGCATGAGCCCCCACCTTGCTGAAGGGGTCTGGCTTGACTGGCAGTGCAGTGGCTTTGGAGCTGATGGAGCTGTGTGTGTGTTGAGCAGTGATTCTGAGGTGCACCGGACTTCAAGCCAAGTCTGTCTGGACACAGGTGGATGTCTGCCTGCGGAGCTTTCCGACTTGGGCAACTTGAACAGCATCTAGCATTGAACAACTTCATTAAATCTTTAAAAAAAAAAAAAGTCTAACATAGTGTAACTTGTGCAACTCAAATGTTTATATATGCTGGATTTTACTTTGTTTTTTCCCTTTGCAGAATTTAAAGTCATTCATCAGCAGCTGTTTCTCAAGAAGTATTTATAGTTGTTTTATTATTAATGTCTCCAATTATTGTTTCTTTCAGGGAATCTGGAGTCCTCAAAAAGTTCCCAATCCCGATTATTTTGAAGATGATCATCCATTTCTTCTGACTTCTTTTCGAGCTCTTGGCTTAGAGCTTTGGTCGATGACCCCTGACATCTACTTTGATAATTTTATCATCTGTTCAGAAAAGGAAACAGCAGATCACTGGGCCACAGAGGGCTGGGGAGTAAAACTAATAGTAGCAAATGCTAATGAGGTATGTGTAGGGTAGTAACAGGCCAGCCACCCTCCTGGCTCTGTTACACAAATGACCCCTTTAATGGTAACTAGAATGCAGTAATGTCTACACCACGTTAACCACTTTTCACAGAAATGCGAATAAGTTTTTAAATCTAACTTGATTAAATACTATTTCATTTTAGCCCCAAATCTTAGACTGTACAGAAAAGGTTAAGCTAAATATTTCAACATAATGCATCTTGGAGGTGTCTTTAAGAACCAATTACCCATGAAGAAATTTGGTTCTTCAGACACTCTACCAGCCATCAAAAGAACAGGTCAAAGGACACTCTTTTTGATGGCCAATGGCCCTGGCTTTTATTTATTTATAGACAGTTTTCTTATTGAAGGTTATAGTGAAATTTCTTTATATGAGAAAAGGACACAGTAATTCTGAGTCTTGTTTTTAGTGATAAGTGTTTTCAAAGTATAGAAGTAGAGTTGTGTACTTCTAAATGAACTAGATAATATACGCATGGAAATAGACCCACCCTGAGATTTCAGTAGGGAATGAAGTCACTTGTCTTGTGGTATAAGTTTCCATGAATGTTGTATCACAGTTCCTATTCAAATCTCACTAAGTTATATGCTTATTGTAATATGTAACCTAACAAAGTGTGAAAATGAAGGACTTGTTTTTGACTGACAGGAAAAATGGCTAGCTAGAATGCACGTTTTGGTGGTTGGCTTTCCCAATGCAGGTTTGTAACACCTTTGCTGGCTTCTCCCCCTCTAGCCTGGCGTGTTTACACAGCTGATGGTGGCTGCTAAAGAGCGCCCGTGGCTTTGGCTCATTTACTTCGTAACAGCAGGGCTGCCAATCGCACTGATTACTTTGTTCTGTTGGCCAAGGAAAGTAAAGGTAAAGAACACAAATGCCCCTCAACTTTTCCTTTTCTTTCCAGTTTGCCTGTGTTTAGGCATTCTATGCATTGAGCAATTCACTCTTAAATGCAATGAACTAAATTTCCTAAATCTTAATAATGATTTACTGTGTATGCTATTTATTGCAAAAAACATTTTTAAGTGGTGCTTTGCTTTGAGTAAAAATAGCCTATGTTTAACTACAACAGAAAAAATACGAAGTTGCAGCGTCTATGAAAACAGATCTCTGTAAGCCACAGACAAAGGGAGCTCTTGAGCAGGAAGTGCACGAAGAGAAGGCCGCCCCAGAGCAACCTGCAGACTTGGAGGAGGAAAAAAAGCAAAGTGATGGTGAAGTTCCTGAAAAAGGTCAGTCTGTGATGGCGACTTACCTTCGGGGTTCTGACCCCACTCGTGCAAGCGGGGTATCGTCCTGAAATAACCAGCCGGTGTGCTTGCCGGTCTGTCTGCAGCTTGTACAGCTGAGCTCCAGGGACAGGGCGCTCATTCGGGAGGAAGTTGTAGCCCTGCCCCCACGCCTCATCGCTGGCCAGCAGTTACAGACCCCACAGGCCACGGCCTCGTGAGGGGACTTTGCGTGCCTTTGAGAATGTAGAGGAGGCACAGAAGTAGATGGTGTGTACATGAAAAACAGGTAGATGGCAGATGATCACAGCAATGAAATCAACATCAGATCTTCAAATGGTTGTTGTGGATCTGGTAGTCTTTTCTGTAGAATAGTTTCCCGAGAATGCTGCTGGAATATATATGAATATATACATATATATGTATACATACATATATGTATATATACATTCCTTCTCCCTTACACTGAACTACTTGACAGTGTTAGAACTGAGTTGTCAAGACCTCCTTTTGCACATCTACGTAGAAATAAAACCAGCCAATATCAGCGTGACTTAAAAACCATCTTTCTCTTCTTATTCCTGTACCTGGGCTTGAACTCAGGACCTCACTCATTTGGCTTTCTTGCTCATGAGTTGGTATTATACCACTTGACCCACACCTCCAGCTTGGTTTTTCTTGTTAACAAAAGGTAGAGTCTCACAGATTTGGCTGGCCTCAAACTCAATCCTCCAGACATCAGCCTTCTGAGAAACTAGGATTATAGGTATAAATCACTGGCATCCAGCAAAAAAAAACTATCTAAAAAGAAAACTACATGTTTACATACATGTACCTGCACATGCACATGTACATATGTAAGTTTTTTTAGTTTGTTCTCAGCACCTTTTCTTTGTAACCTGTAATGCTTATTAGTATGTTGTTTCCATGAACTTAAGAGGGATTTATGAGGTGCTCTCTAGGAAATACTGGAGTATGACAAGAGAATTGTTCTAGAAGGTCTGTGTCCACCATGTTCTGCACGTGTGTATGCGGAATACATGAGCATGTTCCTCCCCCCCCCTACTTCCCCCGTCCCCCTCCCCCACGTTCCACAGCTCCTGGGGCAGGTGTCCTGTGCTCTGTGGTGAGGTGACTGAGCTGAAGTGCAGAGTGGAAACCAAATAAGTCAGTGAGCAGAGGACACCAGGCAGTGTGCACGCAGAACACGGGTAGAAAACACCAGACAGCGTGCACGTGGAACACGGGTAGAAAACACCAGACAGCGTGTATGCAGTACCCGGGTAGAAAACACCAGACAGCGTGCACGCGGAACACGGGTAGAAAACACCAGACAGCGTGCACGCGGAACACGGGTAGAAAACACCAGACAGCGTGCACGCGGAACACGGGTAGAAAACACCAGACTGCGTGCACGCGGAACACGGGTAGAAAACACCAGACAGCGTGCACGCGGAACACGGGTAGAAAACACCAGACAGCGTGCACGTGGTACCCAGGTAGAAAACACCAGACAGCGTGCATGCGGTACATGCATAGAAAACACCAGACAGCGTGTACCCAGTACACACGTAGAAAACACCAGACAGCATGCATGCAGTACATGTGTAGAAAACACCAGACAGCGTGCACCTGGTACATGCATAGAAAACACCAGACAGCGTGCACCTGGTACATGCGTAGAAAACACCAGACAGCATGCACGTGGTACATGTGTAGAAAACACCAGACAGCGTGCACCCGGTACACACATAGAAAACACCAGACAGTGTGCACACAGTGCAAGCATGTAAACACAGGCCATTGGCATGGTAAAAATGAACGATCACTGACCATGAAGGGAGAGTTACTATTAATATTACAGTTACTAAGCACAGGAAAGACAACCGTTTCTTGGGTTTTCATATACAATTCTAGAAAGCTGTTCCTTGCCACACAAAGGATCTTTGTTACTTATAAAAAAAATATGAAGTACTTGAAATTTATTTTTTTTAACTCTGAAAGGAAGAAACTGGTTTTAAATTTTGGAATTCAAATACATTTTCTTTATCGTATCTACTTTTCAATAGCAAAACTCTAATTCACTAAGTCTTTGCCTTTAATAAAATGTACATTCTAGAGGAGGAAGGTGAACCTGAGGAAAGGAGTCAGGAAGAAATTGAAATCATAGAAGGGCAAGAAGAAGGGAATAAGTCCAATAAGTCCGGATCAGAGGATGAGGTAAGCACCCTTCTATCAGAAAAGAAAGTTCTAGATTTAGTTGTCACACACACACACACACACACACACACACACACACACACGCTGTCTCAACCAAAACAGCATCCAGTTTGAGAATAAATTTTTGCCAAATTTCATGAGCTTTCATAGTTTTGAAACTGATAAAAGCAGGAGAGCAGAAACACAATGCATTGTGTTGTGTTATTGAAACGTAAAGGGTAGTGCCAAGTCAGTACAAAACTATGACTCTGTCATTAGCACATTTCATTGAAAAACAGAGCCGGACGCCGGTGGCCCATACCTGTAATCCTAACTACTTGGGAGGCTAAGATCTGATTGTTGCTGTTCGAAGCCAGCCAGGGCAGAAAAGTCCATAAGAGTTGCATCTCAAACCAACAAAAAGCCAAAAGTAGAGGTGTGGCATCCATGGTAAAGCACCAGCCTTGAGTGAAAAAGCCAGGCAAGGCCCTGAGTTCAGTACACAGACTATTTGGGTATCTGAAACACAATCCTTATGGATACAAGATAATTCTGTGGCTTTTGTAAATACATGTCTTGAAACATTTTTGAAATATACCATCCGCTGAGTAGATGAGCAACACCTGCCAGTGTGCTTTCAAATCTTCCAATGAACGCACTCCTTTTGTGACCTGACAGAAGATGGAAGTGTCCACAGGGCCTTTTCATCTCCAGTCAGGCAGGGTATGGCTGAGCACAGAAGCCAGGAGCCGGTGTGGTCTGCGTCTCCAGCCCTGCAGAGTGGCTGTGGCCCAGTAGGGCCAGTGCTGCCCTGCTGGTGTGTCAAGTGTGCTCGGTGCTGTTGGCTTGTGTTCTGAAGCTTGCTCAGTACACATCCCTGGTGACTAGTCTCAACTATCTTAGAGTTTTGAGAGACTTTGGGACCTACTGTCCAGTAGAAATGTCCAAGTACAGAGGAGTAGGGTAAGACGTCTGGCATTGCTTCAGACATGCTCCCATGCGTCCCGGCTTACCTGCACATCTCAAAACACTTCATGTAACTTACTTCCACCTTCTAGCCTTTCCTGAGCTGAAAATAACTCATAAAATTATAAAATACTCTGCTCCAGATGTCTGTGTGGTGTACAATCACATTCTGAGAAAAGAAAAAGGAAAACCTAGAAAGCATTAAATTGGGTATTTTCATTTCTTTTCCTCTCTTCTAGTTTGTCTGGCAGAATTGTGTACTAAAATTTCTGAAAAATGCTCTGGACAAAGCGAGTCAGCAGATAAATACTGCACTGACCACCCACCGCTGCTTAGCGCCTCCTCACTAACTCTGATGTGACACTAAGTGCCACCTTTAGAGACACGGTGTACACGGTGCTTGCAGACACTTCATCAGGCCCACACAGCACCAAGGATGTTGTTTACTGTTAAATGTTTCCAAAATTGCTTTCTGCAGATGAAAGAAGCAGACGAGAGCACGGGCTCTGGGGACGGACCGGTGAAGTCGCTGCGCAAGCGGAGGGTGCGCAAGGACTGAGCGCTGCTCTTGAGCTCGAGTCATCCCGGGGAGAGGTCCCGACTCTAGAGGGAGTGTGCCACACCCTGTCCACCTGCCCCAGCTTCCAACAGACCTGCAACCCTGTTCTTGGAGATTTATTTTAGTCTTTCTTATGAGGGGGGAAAACAGTCTTTGTATTTAGAATAAAAGAGTGGCAAGTTACACATCAGATTTGAGATGGATGTCATTACAAGTTAGTTTTAATAGTTGAAGGTAGTTTGGGTTTCTTTTACAGAACAAAGTACTGTGAAGCAACCTCACTGATTTGGAAAAAATCAGTTGCTGGCTTCAGTTACTGGGCTTTCTACTTCTATGTCAATCCAATAAGATAGGTGGTGATTTTATAATAAAATGTGTGTGCTGCTGTACAGAGCAAGTGCAGTAAAGCCTCTGCATGGTGTGTGCATCCATCAGCTACTTGAGTATCTGAGACCCACATCCACCTAGTTGGCAGTTTTATATTCAGTTCACAAAAATGACTGATTCACTTTCAGAGGTGTTCTGTTGGGCAGCTGTAAAAGCAAATGTGGAAGAATCACTGGGCAATACTGCAGCATATCTGACATTTGAATACATTGATAGTTTCTCAAGACCAAATGATGTGTGATTTTCTTCAAGTTTCATATAGTTTTTCCAGAGTGGTTATCCCATTCCCAGAACTGCTTGTGCTTACACTGCTCTGGAAGACAAATCTCAAATAGTGTTTTTTTCCTAAAGAATGCCTTCTTTGCATACGGGTTATTGAGGCAGCTTAAAGGATCACTGTGAGATTCTAATGCTAACACCAATACCGTGCACTTTACATTTCTCATGACTTTTCCTTACAAGCAGATCTCCAGTCTGTGGCCACCCCCAGCCACCTCAGGTGAGGGGCTGGGGGCAGATGCTGCTTGTTCTTCCTTATAGCGGCTATCAAGAGTCCCTGAACCAACTTACAGTGGAGCTGTTTTCCCACTTTAAATCAGTTCAAGAACTTTGCATGCTTACTACTGAGAGATGATTTAACTCTGAGCCCACAGAACTGCTTTAATACAGTCTATACAATGTTGACTTCCCTCCTAGACCCCAGCCTTGGCCACGCCCCCTACAGGCTCCCTCCCAGGGACATTCACCGGCCTACAGGCAGCACAAGCTCTGCCCTCTGACAGCAGCAGTAACCCTGCTGCTGCACGTCCCAGCTAATCCAGACTCCACTGCTCTTGCACCTTCCACACGTTTTAATAACACAGAGAACCAGGACTTACACTGACTTAATACTAACTTAGCACATGTTGCCAGCACTACCTCTAGGCTCTTGCTTTGAACTAGACACACTGAATACCTCCTGAGACTTTCTCTACTCAGCACTGACTTCAGGAGGAACATCCTTAGCTTTATGAAAACCTTGCCTGACAAGTGCATTCTGTGTACACGTTTTTCCTAAGGATTAATAAAAGCTATTTTCATTGTCTTAGTTTGCCTTGAACATTTGGTTCAACTCTAGAAGCAGACACCGCTAATTCCTGCGCTTCCCCTCTGGCTGATGGGGCTGGGCCTGCTCATCTGAATTCATTGTTTAAAGGGCCTTCAATCAACATTGGAATTTTTTTCCTTTTCTCTACAAAAGAGAAAATTACATGCATTTTAAGCTACACTTTCAGAAGTGTCTTAACTTCAGCAGTCTAAACTACCCTTCCCCTGGAGATGTTTTCCACTAGCCATCATGGCTGTGGGGCAGTAATGCTTTTGCCAGCCCTGCTCAGGGTCCCTTCTTCCCCTCACCTGCCCTCCTCGCTGAGCAGACACAGAAGGGCTCACCTGCAGATCAGCCACTACCAATGAATTCAGAGCGGCTGAAAACTCATGGACTGCCATAGTGAAAACATGAATCTATTACATTCTAGAATCTATGGGGTTGGGTTTTTTTTTTTTTTTGCTTTTTCATTTTAGCTATCGGTAAGATTTGAGATGAAGTATCAGTAAAGAAAACCTAATAAATCTGTTATATATTTAAAACATAATGGCATAGCTCAATTTCAATTTCTTCCCAACGTATATATAGTTCCCCTGCATTTCCATCTTCAGGCAGGTATGAAACATTGAGGAAGTGAAATGAGCCAACTCTAGCACACTAACAGGAGGCAGACATATTTGGGAACATTTGAAATGTTGGTTCTTCGATGCAAATGCACGAAGAATAAGAGTAGTTCGAGGGAAAATGGACTTTTAGTACTGAACATAGTATTACATGTTTTGTGTTAAGTGAATACAATATATAAACTACAAATATAAAATGTAAAAGATGGGATGAACATTTCCCTGATTCCAGGGAAATCATTTTCTGCAGCTCAGAGTCATTAAGTCTTTCTCTCTTCCAACTCTTGCAGTCTCCCACATAATGACTTCTGTTCTTGCATGATTTACAAGTCATGATAACTACTCCAGTAGTTATTATCTGACGGTCACCACTAGTGACTGGCAAAAAAAAACAACACAAAAACTTTACGTCTTTTACGCCTCAAAGAATTAAGACCAATTTTTCATTTAGATTTTGAGTCATCTCTCCTTTTTCTCACAGTTCTGGTGTTGAAAGTGAGATCTGTGTCAATGAAGTTGGGCTATGGTGAAGACTTGCATGGATGTCAACTGCTATCTTAAAGCAAGAGAGCTCTCAAGAGTTTTGTCCTTTTTTCCAGTACTGGGTTTGAACTCACACACCTCCCATGAGTTATATTTCAGATAGGGTTTCTTGCTCTGGCCTGGACAGGCCCTTGGACCACAGCCCTACCTATACTTCCCAAGTAGCTGGAATTACAAGTGCATGCCACATGCAGGGTACCACTCATGAGATCTGCCTCCGAACTCAACTCCCACAGCTCATGTGTTAGGATTCCCGCTGGCAGGATACCTCTGCCAACAAGTAACCTTCACCATACACCAGTAGATAAAACATGGACACTTCACAATGTTTTTGTGATCTGTGTCAAGAGTGTCACAACTGAGGAAAGAAATCAGGCATGATTCCTAGTGCACCCAAAACACTCAGAATTGTGTACTCCACAAACGCATAGTGACATAAACTGCAGATAGTCACTGATTCCGAAGGGTTCTAGCTAAAACTTGACCAAAGACGAGGCCTACATGAAAAAAACAAAAAAAAAAGCCCAGAGCCACCAAAAGAGAAGCTAGACATACTATTTGCCACCTATATCTCCAACACAGACATTGATATCCTGACGTACTGCCATATCAAAAACTAAAAACATGCCGCTGGCTTTTGCAGAACAAGCGCGTAACACGTGGATTTCAGCCTTTCATCACCTACTTGACTGACGGCAGCAGGAAACCAGCCAAAGAAGGCAGAAATGGGCTGTGAAGAGCCATGAAAAGAACTTACCCATGTCTAAGCAGAGATGGAAGTGAAGCAGTTCAGTTATGAGAAGCGCTACAGGATTAAAACAGCCAATGGCATATCAACCTGGAATAGCAGTGAAGGTTCAAAATGGTATTAAGCAAAACAAGGACACCATCCCTGCCCATCACCTGACGCCCCCAAAATCACAGCCTGGAGCTGAGTGGCTATGACGGGTAAGATCCCGTGATAATTGTCTATAGGTATGCTACTTCTCTAACAGTAACTACCGGAATAAGATTGGTAACACTGAACCACCCTGATACACCCCTACTCTTGCACATCCCATTTACTTAGGCAACTACATCACATACACACACAATCTCTGAAACATCTTTTTATTAAACAGCAAAGCAGAAATGCAACACAATTTTAAATATTTGTAAAATTAGGTCACAAAAGGGATGCAAAATGTTTGCAGTATGACTATTACATCTTCATATAGTTAAAGTCATTCATCAAATCTTATACTAACACATAAGATTATCCCATGATTAAAGTAGTTCAAATCTAATAACCATAAGCTATATTAGTGGATCTCTTTTCCTAGTATAATATCTTAATATTACCTCTGATATTGATTCCTTTACTAAATGGAATCTATGAACTAAATTTTTAGAAATTGTTAAAAGAATGAGTAAAATTCTACAAACCAATTAGTTGAATTTACAGAGTGAGATAAAAATACTGAGCTTACCAATTATTATACATATAAAATTCTCTCATTCATGATTCTAATACTAGTACACTCTTCAAGGAATTTGGTAACAGTTAATTGAGTAGGTACAACAAATAAACCTTGCAACCAAGTCCTAGAGCTGGAATAGCATAGCATGTGGCATATGTAAGACCAGCCAAACTTAACCCATTTTCATATATTTATATATGTATTCCTGGAAGATCTGTGCCAGAGACAATACAAATCTGGAGTGAAAACATTATTTTTTACCTATTTCTATTTATTCCTCCCAGATTTTCTACTTCTAATCGATACATAACCAAAATTCTTATCTTTTCAGATAGCAAGTGGGTTATTGGTGCAAAAGCAAGTTGGTTTTTTGTTTTTAAACAAATCTCAATTTGATAATTTAGTTTCTAATTAAAATCCTCTTTATAGCCCAAATATGTTTTCAATGGTTAAAGAGAAACTATCATCAGTCCTATCTTATTACTAGAAAGTACAACTGACAAACTTTAGGCAAGGTTTTGGTTAACTTCAGGACTTACAGATCAGGTTACTGTCAGGTGATTACTACTCAAAGTACTTTTACAAATGTGAAACTATCTTGACTTAGGAGAAGGGAAATGGGGAGGACGAGGCAGATGGAGGAGAGGCACACAATGGCGGACAGGTACATACATAAAGCTGTGCATTCAGTACATGATTTTGGTCACATTTTCACAACATGGTTATTTTCTTGTATATCTTACTAAGTAAGCGTGTAGTAAAAGACATTGCTAAGCCTATATATCAAAGCAAATTCAATAAAACATTCATCTTCAAGTTTCATAAATATATGCAATTCTAATTATAAAGTCTCTACAATACATCTGCACATTTTCTTAGACTAACATAATACACAGACTCATGGAAGTCTCCTGTTAAGTAGTTAATTTTGCCTAGATTTGACACTTTCATAAATATTCAATGAAGCCACAAACAAAGGTACTGTAACTTTTGGAATCTACCCAAGTTTTAAAGGGGGGAGAGAGGGAAGGAAGGGGAAGGGATGGAGAGAAGGAAAGGGAGAAAGAGAGGGAGGGAGAAGCAGCAATTCCGTCAATGAGAAGGGAACTCAATCCCTTACTTTCTTTTGCTTTTCGTGTCAGTTGTTTGGAAAACACTAGAAGCAGACATGAGGTTTTCTATATATTGTCCAAGAACTTGGTTTTCTGATTTTAGCTTCAGGTTTTCTTCCTTAACTGCATCTACTCTTGCTGAGAGATCTATATAAAAAAGAAGAATGCCAACATCAATAAAATGATGGCAATGACTCTATATTACAAAGTGCTTATAACTCATTCAGAGGGAGATCACAATTTTGTTTTTCTGTCTTTAGTTTCAGATCAGAAAGGTTGTAGCAAGCGGAAGGAACACTGTAAATCAGTAGACACTGATCACTTAAAAAAGAGAGTTACCATTCATGCTATGTAGCTACCTCTTAAAAATGAGAAAGTAGATTTCTTAAAAGGTACAAATGCCTAAGCAACATGAGCTGTGAAGTCTTTATTATAAAGTGTATATCTAAATATGTAGTTGGCTAGCACAAGTGAACTCATGTACTGGATATAAGCAAAAAAGTTTCCAAGCAATGCGGTCATTTTGTATTTTTACTTTAGCTAAAAACTTCAAAGACACAGGTCCTAATGCTCAAATTGTAAAAAATGACCTCCAGGAATATATACTGGCAATAAGGACCAAGCAGTGCTCTAGAGAATAAATAAAAGAAACACGGTGGGTGTGGGCATGAGTGCACAGCCAGGGGGCCCAGCATGGTCAGGAGCAAGCAAAAATCCACAGTGTACTGACAGTGGACAGTGGCCTCAGGAAGAAAACGGTAGACAAAGGTCAAGAGTCCTAAGCAGCACAGGAGAAGCCGCTCTAGTCAGGCAACGGCTCTGCTAAGGGGAATCTGATGAGATGACAGGAAATGTGACCAGGGGGACGAGAGCTGCTCCTGGGCAGGGACAGCCGGCAGGGCAAGCGGGTAACAGTCTGAGGGGGGAGGCACGAGGCTGACCGATGGTCTGGGAAGTCACACACACTGCCTCTCCAACGGAAGCACTGGAAAGGTATAGTAACGGAACTTCTCACCAAAAAATGCAACCTCAATTTCATTAAGCATCCACAACAGGTAGGTTGTAATATGAAATGCAAGGCATGTAGAAAGTGAAGAAAAGACCAGAGCCCTCAGGTCGAGTCCCTTTCATCTCTGAGGTTAGTATGTTCTTTGCACTCTCATACAAGCTTGATCACGGTAGACATGGCTACCTGAGGGCCAGTTCCTATGGAAGATGGCGTCGTGTGAGAGGCAGGGGAATAGCGTCTGACCTTCTTGAGGCCGCGCTGTCCTTTAAAAGCGCCAGCCAGAGCTGCATGTGGGAGGAAGAGGCAAGGAGGGGGAAACTACTGAAGTGAGGGTTTAAAACAATATAAAGACTAACAAAATTAGGCAACATAAATGCTTACAGTTTCAGTTAGCTGGACATCATTCATGAAAACTACAAAATGCACGCTAACCTTCAAGTGTGTGTTGGAGTTCCAACACTTGATTAATAAGTCGGGTTTTTTCCTCCAGTTCCACCTGATTTTCAGCATCAACTGCTGGAATGAAAAGGTTCAGATTCACTGTTAATTATCATTAGGCATCACTTGTGGAGAGTAGCACGTAAATGTCTGCACAACCATTTTATAGTCATTATCTCTGTTGACTTGTACAGATGTCTGTGAAGTTATATTGAGACATTAAAAATGAGGACACACCATGTAAAAAGTAAAATGTGATTTGCCAAAGCTGAATGCCAGTGGCTCATGCCGATTGTACTTCTAGCCACTTGAGAGGCTGAGAACAGAAGGATCACAGTTCAAGGCCAGCCTCACCCCCAACCCACAGCTGGAGGCAGTGGTGCATGCCTGTCATCCCAAGCTACAAGGGAGATTAGATGAGATGGGGGAACCAGGTTCCAGGCTACCAGGACAGAAAAGTGTCCATAAAAAGGAAGCAGGATGAGGTCGTGTGCGCCTGTGATCACAGCCCAGGCAGGAAGCCTACGGAAAGGTGGATCGAGGCTCAGGCATATGCTCAGGCAGGAAGCGAGGCCCCAGCCTAGAAATAACTAGTGAAAAACAGGGCTGGAAACATGTCACAAAGCCCAAGGCCCTGAGTTTGAACTCCCAAAACAGCAGTGAAGGCCTGAAGTAGCATTGGCTCCTTTTTAAGACCAGATGGCACGTTAGTCATACATCAGCCAACACCTCACCTCTGAAGACGGTTTCTGTGCCTGTGGCATTGTATATGGAGGCAGAGGCATCCACAGCCCAGAACCCAGGGAGGAGAGAACTCACCATCCATGTCAGCGTTCATCATCCTGGGCACTGAACTGCGCCTCGGACAGAAAAATCCTGATGAATGGTCTGTAACAAGAAAAAGCAGCACAGACGAATTATAACAAAATAAGCTTCCTTCAAAAGATGATCTAACCGGGGCTGGGAAGGTGGCTCAGTGGTAGAGTGCTTGTCTTGCATGCCTGAGACCCTGGGTTCGATTCCTCAGTACCACATAAGCAGAAAAAGCTGGAGGTGGCGCTGTGGCTCAAGTGGTAGAGCGCTAGCCTTGAGCTGAAGAGCTGAGGGACAGTGCTCAGGCCCAAAGTACAGGCCCCAAGACCAGCAAAAAAAAAAAAAGATCTACCAAACCATGGGGCCAAGAACTCTTTCCACCTGCTTTACTGCTTCTGGGGGGGGGGGGGAATATGGGCAAAAGATTATAAATGGTACAGTTTACAAAAGAAGTGCTAAGGAAAGAAAACATTGAGCTTTTTGTTAAATATCTAAAATTAAGTATTTTTTTTCTTTTCTTTTTTGGTACCAGTCCTGGGGCTTGAACTCAGGGCCAGGGTGCAGTCCCTGAGCCTTCATGCTTAAGGCTAGTACACTACCACTTGAGGCACAACTCCACTTCCAGCTTTTTGTTTGTTACCTGGAGATAAGAGTTTCACGGGCTTTCCTGCCTGAGCTGGCTTCAAACTGTGATCCTTAATCTCAGCCTCTCGAGTAACTAGGATTATAAGCATGTGCCACCAGGGCCTGGCTTATTTAATTATTTTAAAAGGTATGCAGCAGGGCACTGGTGGCTCACACCTATAATCCTAGCTACTCAGGAGGCCAAGATCTGAGGATCGCAGTTCAAAGCCAGCACAGGCAGGAAAGTCCAATAAACCACTAGAAAACTGGAAGTGGGCTGTGGCTCTAGCAGTGCTCCCTTTGAGCTGAAGAGCGCAAGGGACAGCGACCAGGCCCAGAGTTCAAGCCCCTCAACCTACAACAACAACAAAAAAGGTATGCGAAAGATTAAATGCTATTGGAAGCTGGGTATGCAGCTCAGAGGGTCTACAGTTCATATCTAGCATGAATGAGTCCCTGTGCCCAATTCCCAGCACAAAGAAAAAAGGATAAAATGCTAGCAAAAAATTATGAAAAAACAAATACATAAATATTGCACAAACGTTAAAATGTGACAAAATTCATAAAAACATTAAAAAATTTTACAGAATTTTACTATTAGGAATTTGGACTAAGGACAATTATAAAGCCAAATGTTATATAACACATAAAAGTCCCTACTTCAATCTTATTCAGAACTCTATCAGAAACAAATGACCATTCAGTCATGGAACAATACAGTTCCAACTTTAAATGCAGTGACTACTCAATAATAATTACTATTGTTATAATACCAAAGAATCCTTATAGAATTTCATATTGACTAAGTTACATAAAACATACACAAATATTAAAGGGGAACACAGCAGTCAGGCCTGGTCACACATTTGAGAGGCTGAGGCCAGCCTGGACTATGTAGCAAGACCCCGTCTCAATAAACAAGCCAACAAACGAACAACAGGGAAAGAGAAAAAGAAAATTAAAAAAGTTCTTTAACTACAGATGATTATAGGAAGACAAATGTTTTCAAAATATTATTTCACATTACTGTTTACATTTTTATAAATAAAATTTAAAAATAGTAGATATGTGAAACACTATGATGAGATAACCAAAAAAAAAGTCTATTTCTCATCTGGTTGTGATTAAATCAAGACAAGTTGCAATGTACCTACATATTTCATTATTCCCATGAAAGTAACCGAGCAATGTAGTTGACTACAACATTTCTATGACACGTGTTTTGTTCTGCTATTAACAGCCATTTCCAAATGCGTGGAGAATGTACCAAGTGTGCTGGAATGTTACTGAAAACAGGTTTGCCAACCAGTGTACTTGGAACTAAAGCAATCAAGATCCATTTCATCAACTTTCTTCCAAAAAATGTTCACTGAGCACACAGCACAAAGCACTGGAAGCCAGACCTGATGACCGTACTAGATCGAGAATCCAGAGAGGAGTCAGCCCCTCATGGCTTGGCTCCTGCTTCCTTCCAGTGATGTCATTTGGGCCATATAGCAGACACAACGCCCAGTGTACAAGCCTAAGAACTGCCCCTGGGTAGACCCTCCCTCATCTTTACAAAGCATTATCAAAGAAGCAAATACGAATGGAATCCAGTGTCTCAACAGCGCACGTAACGAATCTACACAGTCCTCTGGCAGCTCCCCTTTTCCACAAAGCACAAGCCACCCCCTCCACCTGGTTTCCATGGTTTCAAGTCTCAGGTTCTCTGTATCTCAGCAAAAGTATTCAGGAGACTGAGATCTGAGGACTGCAGTTCAAAACCAGCCCAGGCAGGAAGTCTGTGAAACCCTTATTTCCAATTAAGAGCCAAAAAAGCCAGAAGTGGAGGTGTGGCTCAAGTGGTAGAGTGCTAGTCTTGAGCAAAAATTAATGAGCTCAGGGACAATGCCCAGGCCCTAAATTCAAGCCTCAGGACCTACACATACATACACACATGTATAAAAGTATGTATCAGTACACACCAAAAAAAGATCTGTAAACTTATTGCACTGTTTGAAGGTCAAACTTCAAAAATCACTCCTTTCCATTCAGTTTTTTAAAAAATTGATACAAAAAGATATATTCTTGTTGAATACAATGTCAACTACATTTACCAAGTTACCATATGCATTACCTTACAGCTACTTTGTTCCTGGTGAGGGCCACACTTTACTGTACACTGAGGAAGAGAACGGCTGCCCCCAACCCTCACACCACTCACACCAGTTCAAGGACTGACCCGGCTCAAGCAAGTCCAGCAAAGAAGACAAGAGTCAACAGTCCATCAACCTGCACGATCACGGAGCAGTGCAGAACAGACGGCAACCCGCTAATGCCCGCTTCCAAGGGGCCACCAGGGCAGCCCTGCCCACCTGTACAAGGTGGTCCTATGCAGAGCTGTGGCTGGCCCAAAGCATTGCTGCTGCCTCTCCACAAGCAGCAGCAATTTTCTTTTATTGTTATCTGATTAAACAAACTCAAGATGCTACTCCTGTATATATTCAGAGTCTTTCATAGTTTCAGAGAAATGAACTTATGGTAATAGAACAAAGGTGGAGTATGGAGTCAGAGGTGGGGTATGGAGTGAAAGTATGTTCACCATGAATTGACTTTCTTTCCAAATAGGACAACTGTTAAACTGAGCAATGCCTCCATTTGCACTGTGCTGTATGTGCACTTGGTACAAGGTTGAGTCTGTAACACCAGATCTTTTTGCCTCTAGCCACTATGACATCAGTTCCAAGTCAAATGTGCCCTTACATGTTCATGTAAATTCCCTCTGCTCCCATGCCTACATGAAATCTGACAAGAGAATCCAGACCAAAGCATCTCAAGTGTGGGAAGAGTCTAATTAACTTTGAGGTGTGAAGGTTGCTCTGTTTATCCAATCCTGCCTCAGAAATGGACATGACCCAAGGATCCTTTAGATCAGAACTTCCTTTTTTCCCCCCAAGCTCACAGTAATGTGTACCCAGACTTGGATAATGGAAAAAAATCTGTAATTATTTTTGATCATTTTATACCAGGAAAGCACACAGTATGAAGAGAAAAAAGGACCCGGAAAGGTGACAAACGCTGGGACAAGACGCATTTAAATTACCTTTTCCACATCTACACTCTCAACTACACCTCTCCTTTGTTTTGTACTGACGCTAGCTCAGTGGCTGGGTTCAAAGCGACACGGGTGACCTGGGTTCAAATCCCAGCTCTGCTGCTTACATACAAGATGAGGATTCTCGGCTGTCTAACGGGGCTCGGAAGGCCGGGCTCGGAAGGTGGAGAACTGAACGGATTAGCCATGCGGGATACGTGTGTATAGGCTTAGTGCTCCGTATATTTTGGTTTCAATGTGAACCACAAAAAGAATGGTAGAAACGCCACCTGGGTGCAGAGGCCTCATTTTTACAGATCAAGAACCAGGGCCCAAGAGGAGAAGGGCTGACTCAAGTCACAGGAGACCCCCCCACCCCGGGCCAGGACTCCAGTCCAGGCGGCCACCCCCCCCCCGCCACCCCCTCAAGACGCACTCACCTTCGGGCAGCTCTCTCCCGCACCCCGCCAAGCTCACTCCGGGCCGGCGTCGGCCGCTCTGGCCCCGCTTCCCTCAGGGTCTCGCCTACACTTGCGCCCCTCCGGCCCCCGGGTTCTCTGTAGTTCTACCAGGCGCCGGGCTGCATCGACCCGCCCCAGGCCCGCGTGGACCTTCCGTCCGGGTGTGAGGC